GGTGCTGCCTCTGCTGCACCGGCAGCTCAAAAGTCGGCTGTGTCTTCTGCAAACTTCACAGTGAGTTTTTAATAGCTTCTAAACATTCATTTATTAGCTACTAAAAATGTATGTATCTCAATCCATATTGAATATTTCATCGAAACCCTCCCGACTCATGTTGATGATGTATATACTGCACTCTGACAGGTCTTTAATTAAGTCATTTCTAAAATGTTTAGGTACTGTATTTTGACGTATGAACAGGTCATTAAGCAAGTCATCTTTTAATCCCTATTCCCTCGTAAACAGACGACCTGACCCAGAGACTCCCCCGTCCGCGGTGTCCACCGACATCCGCCACGACGGCAAGTGGCGGACAGGCGAGTCGGCGGCCACGTGGCTGAGACGGCTCCTTGTCTTGCTGTTGTCCTCCGATTGCGGGTGTCCAGTCCTCGCGTCTACCAAGTCCGTGTGTGGACTGGACGCCGCCCTGTCTCTTATACACATCTAGATGTGTATAAGAGACAGCGGCTAGCCAAAAAAAAGCTACTTGTTGGACACAGTAGAAGCGTTTCAGGAAGAAACATGTTGGGAGTAATAATGTTTAAATATCTATGACATTCTGGTAAGCGACGCGCTATATGCTTCGCAAGCCGACTAAAGCAACAATTACTGCAAACTGAAATGTATGCAAAAAGTTGAAGTCGACATTATTGTTGTAGAGCACAAGAAGCCTATTCCTGGGTTATTCCAGCGTTTCATTATAGAGTGTTGGAATGTCAGTTCAAGCGTTAAATTTTTAATCTAATTGGAACCAAACTTTGAAACTCTTTTGGGGACATGCTTGACGATGACATCGGCGCCGAGAGCGGGACCGTCTTGCGTGCTAACGGAATCGTCCTGGGAGTCATCGGGACTGCCGCTGTGGACGTCCGAAGATGAAAGGCCCGCAGCAGAGCTCGAGTCTTCGCCTCCTGACGACGACTGGGATACCGAGGAGCCTTCTTGAGTGGACTCCGAATTTTCCTCCTCAGTGAAACTCTTGCCAAGGCTCAAGCTCTCGATGTTCTCAGCGATGGACTGAGAGGCCCCGGCAGATGAACTTGCCGCAGACGCATCGCTGCCGATGGACGTTATGAAATCAGTGAGAGGATCTGACACTACGCCAGCCGAGCCGAAATGCTGTGCGTCAGTCGCGTCATCTACAGTGTTCACTTGAACGACTTCAAGCGTATCGCTGCCCAACACCGGAGCTCCGATGTCGATTACTCCTCCAGAACTGCTGACGGCGGATGAACTCAAAGACGACGTTCCTAGAGCCGCAGAACCTGCGCCATCCAAGCTAACGGCGATACCTCCACCCACGCTGCTTGTTGAACTCTGTGCATCGCCGCTGACTGACGCGAATGAGTCTTGAGTAAATCCGTCAACTGATGATTCTGAATCAGCGGCTACTGAAGATGAAGAGGATGAGGCAGTGAAACTGCTACCTGCTGATGATTGGCTGTCGGTGGCAGCTGTTTCTACGTTATTTGAGCTTGACTTCACTGAACCAGCACTCCGAAGCTCTCCTNAGGTACGATGTTAGCCATGGAGTGTGCTAAGGCTGCTGTTGACAGAGGTACGATGTTGGTCATGGAGTGTGTTGTGGTTGCTAAGGCTGCTGTTGACAGAGGTACGATGTTCATCATTGAGTGTGCTATGGCTGCTGTTGGCAGAGGTACGATGTTCATCATTGAGTGTGCTAAGGCTGCTGTTGGCAAAGGTACGATGTTGGGCATCGAGTTTGTTATGGCTGCTGTTGACAGAGGTACGATGTTAGTCATGGAGTGTGCTAAGGCTGCTGTTGGCAGAGGTACGATGTTCGTCACTAAGTGTGTCGTGGTTGCTAAGGCCGCTGTTGGCAGAGATACGATGTTCGTCATGGAGTGTGGTATGGCTGCTGTTGGCAGAGGTACGATGTTCGTCATGGAGTGTGGTATGGCTGCTGTTGACAGAGGTACGATGTTCGTCATTGAGTGTGCTAAGGCTGCTGTTGGCAGAGGTACGATGTTCGTCACTAAGTGTGTTGTGGTTGCTAAGGCCGCTGTTGGCAGAGGTACGATGTTGGGCATGGAGTGTGTTGTGGTTGCTAAGGCTGCTGTTGACAGAGGTACGATGTTCGTCGTGGAGTGTGTTTTGGTTGCTAAGGCTGCTGTTGACAGAGGTACGATGTTCGTCATCGAGTTCGTTATGGCTGCAGTTGGCAGAGGTACGATGTTCATCATTGAGTGTGGCATTGCTGCTGTTGGCAGAGGTACGATGTTCGTCATGGAGTGTGTTGTGGTTGCTAAGGCTGCTGTTGACAGAGGTACGATGTTGGGCAGAGCTGCGTGGAGATGGGCGAGGAGGTAACAGCGGACCTGCACAACCAGCGCATCTCAGTGCTGCTCGTGTCGCTGGCGAGCGTGGTTGTGTGGTGTGAGGCGCTCCGCCCCCACGCCCTCTACGCCCTCCTGCACGCTTGCCACCAGCACCACGTCAGCGCCCTCCTCGTGGCCGCCGTCCTCGACAGGTCTCTGCACTCAAAGAAATGAGACTTTGTCCCAATAACAATGAGACTTTGTCCCAGTAACAATGAGACTTTGTCCCAGTAACAGTGAGACTTTGTCCCAGTAACATGAGACTTTGTCCCAATAATAATGAGACTTTGTCCCAGTAACAGTGAGACTTTGTCCCAGTAACATGAGACTTTGTCCCAGTAACAATGAGACTTTGTCCCAATAACAATGAGACTTTGTCCCAATAATAATGAGACTTTGTCCCAGTAACAATGAGACTTTGTCCTAGTAACAATGAGACTTTGTCCCAGTAACAATGAGACTTTGTCCCAGTAACAATGAGACTTTGTCCCAGTAACAATGAGACTTTGTCCCAGTAACAATGAGACTTTGTCCCAGTAACAATGAGACTTTGTCCCAGTAACAATGAGACTTTGTCCCAGTAACAATGAGACTTTGTCCCAGTAACAATGAGACTTTGTCCCAGTAACAATGAGACTTTGTCCCAGTAACAATGAGACTTTGTCCCAGTAACAATGAGACTTTGTCCCAGTAACAATGAGACTTTGTCCCAGCAATAATGAGACTGTGTGGGTCACCCCGATCCAGTTTAACCCGGAAAAGACGTGTCAGTTCTACGTGCTGAAAGTGTGTTCTATTTGCTATTTACATAATATTGTAAATATTATTAGTTATGTGTATTATTATAAGGCCAAGGCCATATTATATTATACATATTATGTAAATAGCTATTGTATCGCTATTTACATAATATGAGCCTTGCATTTTTCACCACCTGTATAAATATATCAGAATTTGTATATATTGGATGCTATTTGCTTCCAAGGCGAAAAAAATTAATGGTAGCTAAATCAAATCTAAAGCCTGTATCAACTGTCAAATGAATACGAAGTTGTCTCTTGCATAAAATTATATAAATGTTATGAGTTTTTGAATAATGCGATTGTGAACTTTGACTTTCTATACTTGGTAATTAGGATTATATATAGTATAATTTTTGTAGTACCTATAATTTTTTCCGTAGTAAAGTTTCTTTTCATAGAGGATAGTTTCTTTTTAGCGCATTTTCTCAATTATGGAAAAAATGCACTATTGTGCGCGCCATGTCCGTCTGTCCGTCCGTCCGTCTGTCCGTCTGTGACTTCACGTTTCGCCGACGAGAAAATGCGCTCTCTGTCACTCACTGCAGTGGGTACTGTTCGAGTTATATTTTTTAGCTAGTATCCGTGGCCTTTGGTCTTATTTTTTGTTTCAAATTCTAGTAATCCTTCTAGGACATTGTATAAACC